GAGTGGACGCTTTAAGGACTCGGAGTTTCATTATCACTCCACGTTCAAAGAAATTCTAGCAGTCAAAAGAGCTATCGAYAAGTTCGAGTTCCATCTGATTGGACATAAATTTCGCATCGASATGGATATGTCATCTTTTCCAAAAATGCTACAGTTCAAGCAAAAGATGGTCCCACATCAACAGCTGTTACGATGGAGCGAATGGTTTTCGAAGTATGATTTCGAATCCTTCTATTTAAAGGGCACGAAGAATACTCTCGCTGATATGCTCAGTCGAASCSCAYTAAGGGAGATACAAATGATGGRGAGCTCTTCTGCAAGTTCCTCTGRAAAACGTTACTACGACTRCACCTTCAACATGCCAGAAGARGCCCATCAGCTTATRGACAGGAYGACTTTGCACGAACATCTCAACGAAKAGATTTTCTATTACCAATCCATCATCRTGTCAAGATACGGAATCAARAGTCATCAAATCTCACCGCTAGGCATTCATCCTGACRYTCRGTTCGCACATCTCTACAGAATCGAGAACGCCCATATGCCTGAAGAAGTKCTCTGTTTMCTATGGTACCTCTGCTCGGTTTACACCATCGGAATCGCTTTTGACATCAAATGGTTATATCAGTACATCAACGCTCAACAAGGTCACCAAGAGTGTTTTTCGACATTCTTAACATGGTTTGCACCCCTACCTGTCTGGAYCGGAAAGTTGCGAAGATCGGCTAAAGCAATAAGCCTACCCTTCAAGAAGCTAAAAGGTCAGGGAGGTCTTAATCCCTTCTTTTTGTCCGAATACTGAACTATAAACTCGTATCCTTCTCCTAGAGGACCAACTGTAGGATCGCCATCGAGATATCGTTGATAAAGAGGATCCTTCTTTTTACGTCGTCGTCTACGAATATCTTCGTCGGATTCGTAGTCTAAGTATGCATCTGTACAAGCAGTACAGTTACAAACGTCGAAGTACTTATGTCCATCCTTATCCATGAAAGGATAGACGATGGATCCGTCTTGGTCAAAAGAAATTGGCATAGGATTCTGTTGCGAAGGACGATCGGATAGCGCTAGTTCATCAATTTGTATAGTAAATTGAGTAAACAGTTGTCGCCTGGCGGATGACGATCGTGGTTTCTCGAATTTGATCTCCGTTGTTCCATCGCTGAGAGAATGGAAACTGGCTTCAGATGATTGGATCTGTGTTTGGTCAGCGCGATGTAGCTTTTCATAGCTTGTGACCCATGACTCTGGTAGCCGACGCAGGAGTTCTTCGCGAGATATTTGGCGAGGGATRTGGATYGCGTTTGGAGCTTGAGATGCGYATGTGACCTCGAGATATAGTGCTTCATCGGATGAGGGTAGAACAAGATCAAGAGCATGATCTTGGATTCGATATACGATCTGGTGATGGAGCGTAGCCATTACACTTTTGTCTTGCATTGGAGCTCCAATTAACTGAAGCTGGACCTTGAGCGTCTTTAAAAGATTCGGATCTTGTAGCGAAACATTGAAGTTGGGAAATAGTGTTATGAATACTGTTCCCGCGTTCAGTGTCGTTTGAACCGTTCCGATGCAAGCCTGTTGGTATGACTTTAATCGTGAGTCGATTAAAGCTATACGGGCTATTACTGGCAGACCTTTTCYTGCGTGTAAGGTCAGGCCAATTCGCACAACTCCGAAGTGGAGGTGAGTGTAACCTAGTTGTTGCCAAAGTCTTGGCAAGTGCTCCGGGATATTGAGTGAGATGAATTGTTCTTCTTCGGTGGCAGGGACTTGGCAAGATGAGAATTTGCTGGACTGAACATACTCCAAAACCTTTRGGTTTGAGGATGGCTTGATTAGTTCACGAATACCTTTTGCGGAAAAAGCACTAGGCTTTTTGGCAAAGTATTCATATGGATTAACCAGTGGAAGAGTTGTTTCGGGTAATTGATCTCCCGGAACATACTCGATTTCGTAGAGAGAACTGATGTG